ACTGTTGCAGTTTAAGCCTCAAGCTTAGACTTTCACATATCTTTTTCAGTTAGAAAACAAGCCACTGATGGATTCTGTCATTTGGGTGGAGGGAGTCAGAAAGATAGACAGACCTGCATCTTGCTGGGCATTCCCGCTCATACTTCATTTGGGGGCAACCATGGAGGGAGGTAAAAGGGATTGTGTTGTTACTACAGCCAGATTGGCAAATTTCCATTCCCTTTGGACAGAAACAAATTTGCACACAACACATAAATTGCTGTATGAAGCAGTAAATAATTCCATTGTGCAAGATGTTTTAATGGACTTGAGCCAAAATGCCCCATTAACCACACAGCCATAGAATATTCATTGATTCTGCATTCTATTACAAGAAAGGAAGAGAGACAGAGAGAGAAAGACACAGAGAGAGACACACACACAGAGACAGAGAGAAAGGAGACAGGAGAGAGAAGAGAGAGAGAGACAGAGACAGAGAGACAGAGAGACAGAGACAGAGAGAGATAGAGAGCGACAGAGATAGATAGATAGAGACAGATAGACAGACAGAGACAGAGACAGAGAGACAGAGAAACACAGAGACAGAGACAGAGAGAGAAGAAGGAAGGAAAAATAAAACAGTATAATGCAGGAGGTTTAGAAATGTCTTTAACACCTGAGGAGGTGGGAGGGAGGGAGGAGACTTTAGAGGTATGCAAGATTCTTTTTAGAACTTTTTTGCTTCTTTCTTTTCCCCTCAAAGGATTAAGTACAAAAATGACTGGGTTTCAGCTTTCAAAAATGATTGTCAAAATCTGAGGACAGAGTGGGAGTCTGTGCCAAATGCTCTCCTTCAGCCCTTATTGCACAAAATAGCCACATCATTTCCTGTGCACACTGGAGTGGGTGCTCAGTGTGTGTGCATGTGTGTGCATGTGTGAGTTTGCAGTGTATTCGTGCACGCATGCAGAAATTGTTTTGTATTTTCAGAAACCAGGACCGCCTTCCTTCCCCAAATTGACCCACTCAGGAAGGGACAGCTTTGGGATGGCATCACCATTAAGCTCAGGATTTTCACTCCAGAAATCCCAGGATTTGGTTTCCAAGAGAAATGAGACCTCCACAGTACATGGTTGGGGTGTCTAGAGTTTCAGGCTTTTTTGTTTTAGCCACAATTGGGTGCAAAGCCCATGAGCTTGGATTAACCTTCAGGCATCTCTGCCTCCAGAGAGGGCTAAAACCACAGACCACAGCTTCTGACAGATGCGTGCCAAGAGTAAAACCCATGGACATTCAAGTCATATTACTCAGTGTCCCCCCATCACCACCCCACAAGCCTGCCACCAATCCAGCTCCCATGTATCAAAGAAATCTCTCTGGCAATACTGAGCACACCACACCCAGTGCGCCTGGGCCTTTGAGGTCTGTGCTGGAGGAAGATGGACTGTCTTGTGCTGTGTGTATAATAATAATAATACTAATAATAAGTTGGTGGAAGAAAGGGGAAGTACAGTATTGCTTTGCCCCTGATGGAATGAATTCACATTCCATCACCCACATCTCTGCAGTCATACTTTCCACCTGGACCGTGCTCACTCCTTATATCCAACTTTCAAAAGCTTTGCCTTCATCCAGGGCAAGATGTAGCTGACTATATCTCCTCCTTTGCAAAATTTTCTCTGATTCCCTGACTTCCCTAATTTATACTGTTCTCTCCCACTTTTGTTATTTTTCTTTTCTCTTCTTTTTTATTATTTTTCTGCTCATTCAGTGTATCTGTCCCATGCCACCTCCCACTCCCCAGTAAAATGCGAGCTTCTTGGCCACAGGTGTTATTTCATTGGTTTCTTGGTATCCCTGGTGCCAAATGAGCATGGCGCTTGCCATGCAGTAGACATTTGATGTGTGCTTGTTGAATTGAAAGTAATGGAATTTTACCAGACTGGATTTACTCAAAGGAGGAATTAGAGCAGTCTACCAAAGCAGATTTCATGAAGCAAGATGAATCAGCAGTGATTTAGGAAGGTCATCAATGCCAAACTCATTGCCAAACCCAATTGCCTTCCCTCCATAAATCCCCATCCTACTGCACCTCTCTGCAGGATATTGCTTCCATCGCAGCTCATCCCAACTTGCAACTTTGTTTCTCCCTCGAGTATACAGTGCTCCTCCTATTCCCGTTTAATTATCTCTCCTCTGTCTTCTTTCTTGATTCTCTTGTCCCTCTCACTTTCCATGTGGGGCTGGGCATTTTCCAAAGTCCAGGCATCACAGCTCCATTCTTCTGCTCCTCTTCTACGCTTTGCTCCCCAAGATCTCATCTATTGCTAGAATTTCAACTCTCAGCAATGCAGATAATTTATAAATAGTCATCTCTAGCTCTGCTTCTTCTCCCAAGCTCCAGTCTCCATCTTCCAAAAGGCTATTGGGTTTTTCTACCTGAGAGTCTTGCCGTCATCTGAAATTCAAAATCTGTGCAAGACCAGTGTCCAATACCACACTTCTTACTTTCCTTCCTGGTGTTCCCATTTTCTGGGATTTCGGCCATTTTATCCTCCAGGACATCTGAATTCTAAAGTTTGGAATCCTTGATTCTTTACTCTCTGTTTTCCAATTTGTCCAATCAGTCACCATGCCCTCTTATTCCTTGGCAATGTTTTTGATATACTGATGAAATGGTGTAACCACAGCAGAGAAAGCTGATGTCACTTCAAGATGTCAATACAGTTGGCTTCTATGCATAGGTCTTATCTCTGGGCAATGGGGAATGCCAAAACTGAAAAGAATAGGCCAATAGCATCCAGCAAGAATAGAAATGGATTTTGAACTGTATCTGGGACAGAAAAAAGACAAAAATGTGAAAATGTTGTTCGTCACAAATTCATCTTTTTAGTACCCATCATCTTCCACTGAAAATGTCAGTGGCTTGCCTAGCATCACACAATCAGAATGTGTTAGAGGGAAGACTTGAACCCAAGTCTCTCTTCCTTCAGGGCAGATTTTGATCCACTGTACTCTACTACACATACTTGTTGAATGTAATGGAACTGAATGCCCCTTTCCTGGAATGGACACTAAATATCACTGTGGAACTAGTCCTAAGATTCTGTAAGACTCATGAACTCTGTAAGCCATGGGATCATGGTGTCTTCTGTGGAATCACTATCTCAGAATTGGAAGGGATCTTTAAGGTCAATGTGAACTCAATTCCCCTTTCAACTATTCCTGAGAAGTGGTTGGCCATCCAATCTCAACTTGGATGACTACATTAATAGATGTAGAACTGAAAGGGAATTTTGAGATTATTGATTCCTCATTTTACAGAATGAGTAAATTGAGTAAACTGATGACCAGAGATGAGATTTGCCCAAAGTCACATTAGGATTTATGCAGCAAAGCCAAATTTGGAATCTGGGTCTTCTGCCTTCAAATGGAGCTTTTTCTAAAGAAACACATTTTTTCACACTTCCCCCTGAAGCTGCCCAATCATCTTTAAACAGCTCCACTGTAATTGCTGGGAAAAAAGACCTTACATTTGGCCCAAATCTGTCTCTTTATAACTTCTGACATCTCCACTGGTTCTCTGTCCTGTGGTTAAATAGAAGCTATCCAATGTCTCCTTCTTGAGATAGCCTCCAAATACCTGAAGGAAGCTAATCTGTCCTTTCTAAACTTTTTTGTCTCCAAGCTAAGTATTCCCCATTTCTTTATTCCTCTTTCCAGAAGCCAGGTTTGTCTCGGGGTCTATTTAAAATGACTGGAGGATTGCAAAGGGAGAGGCAAGAGAGCTGGGTTCTTTTACCAGGCTCCACTTATCCTGCTTTCCAACCATCCAAATGTTTTGGGAGGATTCTCAGTATTTCTGAGCATTTGATCTAGCTAGGACCATTCACCAAGGACCATATTTTTCTACTCGGTGCCTAGGATAGTGCCTTCAGGCCCTTGGACCTTGTGAATAGTATGCCCCAATAAATATTTCTTAGACAGAATGAATTAAGTAAATAAGTTCATTGCTGCACTGGGGACAATACACAGAAAGTTATAGAAGACCATAAAGAAAGAAGACTCATGAATGGAAAAATCACCAGACTTGAAGTCAGCTTTGACCAACTAGCTGTGTGACTTAGCCAGCACTTTCCCTGAGCATCAGTTGCCCCATGTGTAAAAGGGACATTGTAGTACTTGGACTACGTATTTCACAAGGGTTGTCATGAAGGTAGAACTTTGTAAATATTTACTGGAAATAACTCAAAATGTCTAGTTCAGAGTTAGCTTTCTTTTACTCCATTTCTCCTTCACCTGAGATTGCAGGTATGTATCACTATTTCAAGCTCAGGGACTTTCCTTAAATTCACCTTAGGAAGATGCCATTTCTGAGATTTTAGAAGGTCAAGTCCTTCCAAAGGAGCTTGTTCTTGATGTCCTTTGGGCTTTTAACAAAAGTGTCCCTGAGAGGGCAGTGAGGTGGCGCAATGGATAAAGCACCAGCCCTGAAGTCAGGAGGACCTGAGTTCAAATCTAGACCTCAGACCAGACGCTTGTCACTTACTAGCTGTGTGACCCTGGGAAAGTCACTTAACCTCCAATTGACTAAAAAAAAAATGTGTCACTGGACTGGAGGATTTTTTTTTAGTGGAAAGGGGAGGGGTTGAAGATGTCATGGATGGATAACTGACCTAGAATTCAGGAATCTCGGTTTGAATCCTACTTTTGAGCTTCTTAGCTATGTAATCCTGGACAAGTAACTTAATCTCTTTCAATCCAATTTTCTTATCATAAAATGGGGGTATTGATAGCATTCATCTCACAGGTTTCTCATGAGGACCAAATGAGAGAATGTCTATAAAGTTCTTTACAAACATTAAATTATAGTATAAATATTGGTTGTCATTATTATTTGTATTTATAACTGGAGGAATTTCTCCCTAGCCAAGGGCACCTAAGTTATAGAAACTTCACTTTGAATTGTCTTCCTTTGGTTGTATTCTTATAAATCTGATGCTAAACCACTTGTTTTTCAGGAGGCAAGGTGAAGGCATCCGGATCTCTTGGGGAAAGAGTGAGGAGCAGTCCTTCTTGTCCCGCTGGAACCCTTGGTCCACAGAAGTTCCTTACGCTACTTTTATAGAGCACCCCACCAAGAATAGCAGTGAAAAGTTCAGTGAAATTTGCAAGGTACGTATGGCTTTGCATGGTTCCGTTAGAAAAACTGTCTCAGATGCCACAAGTGTCCAAAGATATAGATGCTGGAAACAGTAGATGATGAAGGAGTACACTCAGATAATTTAATTTAAGTTAATTTGGGCTACGTTCAATGTGCTGCTTAAAGCCTGTTTGACCTTAGAGATACTCTTTCCTCTATGTGAGTTTCGGTTTCCCCAATAGTAGAATGAGGAGTTGAACTGGACCATATATACTTAACCTGGGATCTCTCTCTCTCTCTCTCTCTCTCTCTGTATATATCTATATATATCTATATATATCTATATCTATATCTATATCTATATCTATATCTATATCTATATCTATATCTTCACACACACACATATATATACATACACATATATATACATATCTATATATGTATACATATATATCTATATATGTATACATATATATACATATACATATGTATATATTTTATCAGTATTTTCTGTTTCTTACATCAACATGCTTATCCCTTTCTTCCCCCTCCCAGACAGCCAGCCATCCTACATGAAAATGATATTTTTTAGAGAGGGAATAAAAGAGTTAGAAGAACTGATCACTACATTGAAAAAAATTTTTTTTAAATCTGCAGTGTAACACCTGTGGACTTTCCACTCCCATGAAGGGGTAGATTGGCAATGTCTTATCATCTTTCTTCATTCCAGTCCTGTTTGATCTCTACACTCTTGTTACGCTTACTTTTGATTTGGTGTGTGCTTGTTCTTTCCATTTACTTGGTTGTAGTTATTGTGTATATTGTTTTCTTGGTTCTGTTGACTTTACTCTGCATCAGTTCAGTAGATCTTTCTAGGCTTCTCTGCATCCATCACAGGCATCATTTCTTATAGCACAGTAACATTCCATTACATTCATATACCACAATTTATGGTATTCCTCAACCATTGGGCATTTACTTTGTTTCCAATTGTTAGCTATCATAAATGGTGCTTTCATGTGTATTTTGAAGTATACGGGGACTTTTTTTTCTAATCAATGGTTTCTATGGGGTATAACCCCAGTAATAGTGATGTGATTTTGGGTGCTAAGGACTCCAAAATGCGAGGGTACAGGGTGGGTCTGCCTCAAAAGAATTTGACCACTCAAGTCTTCTTTCAGTCAGAGTAATGAGGTTTTATTATACACCAACTGGGCAGGCAAGATTTCTACTATATCTGTGAATTTGATAGAGACAAGAATCATACTTATATTCATTAAAAGACCTTGGGAAGATCTGGATGGAATCAAGACGTGACAAGTAGCCTGGGGTGGGCCAAGTGCAGACAATGAAAGGAGTTAAGTGATAGGTCCACAATAAAATGATAGTTAAAAGGACTATACTGGGTATAAATGTGTGGGTAAAATTCAGGATCCAGGTCCCATTGCCCAATCAATAGAATCACTGATTCATAGGGCATAAATATTTTGATAATTTTGTTTGCATAATTCCAAATTATTTTGCAAAAAATGGTTATACCATTTCACAGGTACCCTAGCAATGTATTAATATGCCTAATCCTTTCACTCACTCATCCAAAGGGAAACCTCCAGTAAATGACAGGTCAAGGGCCAGTATCCAAGTCTCTTTATTTACAAGCTCACTATTCTTTCCTTTGGGCTATTGATCTTTATGGTTGCAACAAATGACAAATGAGACCTAAATGTTTCTGATTCTTCTTTTCTTTTTAGCTCATTTAATGCATTTCTAGAGGCTTTTCAGGGTAGAGGGACAGGATGGATGAGCATGAGGTACATCTAAGTCCATTTGCCCCTTAGAGTCAAGAAGATCTGGGTTCAGAAATCCCTGCCTCTGATACGTACTAGCTGAGTGTTCACTGATAATTTACTTAAGCTCTCCAAGCATTCTCCATTGGTGTTGTTGATAATGCTGGAGAGCTGATGATCTGCTTTGGTGGATGCACTTTCTACTCTGGGCATTTCCCATCCTGATGTAATACCACATCTGGATGAAACGCAGCTCTTCCTGTCCATTTTTCCATGGGTCCTCACTATAACCCTTTAAGGGACATAGTACAAGTGTCCCCACCCCACCCCCATTTTTCATATGAGGGAGTGGAGGAGTGGTTCTGATTCCAAAGCCATGTGTGTCTTCTTTCCACAATTCCACACCAGCTCTTGATTTAAATTTGGATCCCAAAGTACTTGCTTATCTTCCTACCATAGATTTTCTTCTTTAGCCAATGTGCCTGCTGTTCCATCTTTCTGTAATTGAAAATCACAGGAAATAATCACATAGGGAATGAGAGCTATTCAAGCCCAGAATGTGAAGACCTGACTCATTGGAGATAGAGGTCCTGGTAATGTTTCCTATTGTGCAGCTTGCACGTGGCAGCAGCCTGTGGCCAGAGGGTTGAAAGGACTCTCCCAACAAGGGAATTTGGATCCCCGGGGCATAAAACCTGTTCTTGTCACCCTGTGTCAACAGGAAACAAGGGGTGGCTCTGCCAGTGAAAGGGGAGACGATGAGTTCGAAGCTTTGTTGGCATTTGAAGTGAGCCCCCATGAAGGGCCCAGAAACAATGGAGGTTATGGGCAGGAGACTTACAGAAACAAAAGCCCTAAACCACCCAGCAGCTTGCATGCAGCCGGAGTTGTTAGAACTTGATCCTCTTTTGTTGAAAGAGTGGAAGGAGGGGGGCTGATTTTTCAGAGAAATATGCTGCTAGTGGCATTCATGTCAGGTTACATGACTTTCCTGTCACCCAGACTGAGCTCAGCTGCCGGAAGTTCTCCAGAGGAGAGCCTTTTTGTCCCCTCTTTGCAATACACATTCCTGCTCCTCTCCTCATTCCCATTAACTTCATTCTTCATGATCAGCAAAGAGAAATTACTGAAAACTAAACACATTTGACCTCTGATGAAATGCCAAAGTCAATGCAGGGGAAGTATATCTACCTTCTTTTTTGATCCTTCCATTCAGAGATGATGAAGAATTTTAATGAAGCCTAAGACCAGAATTCTAGGGAAAGATAGAGTCAGAGATTGTTATAGGTCTTCAGCTGAATGAATTTGGAGTCATAGTTTGATCCTCAAAAATGGCAAATATTTAGTATAGATATAGATATATAGATATAGACATAGATATAGATATAGACATAGATATATAGATATAGACATAGATATAGACATAGATATAGATATAGATATAGACATAGATGTAGATATAGACATAGATATAGATATAGATATAGACATAGATATAGATATAGATATAGATATAGATATAGATATAGATATAGACATAGATATAGACATAGATATAGATATAGATATAGACATAGATGTAGATATAGACATAGATATAGATATAGACATAGATATAGATATAGACATAGATATATAGATATAGACATAGACATAGACATAGATATAGATATAGACATAGACATAGACATAGACATAGATATAGACATAGATATAGACATAGATATAGATATAGATATAGATATAGATGATATAGATATAGATATAGATATATAGATGGGCAGCTAGGTGGCACAGTAGATAGAGCATTGGCCTTAGCATCAGGAAGACTCGTCTTCCTAAGTTCAAATCTGGCCTGAGACATTTACTAACTGTGTGATGCTGGGCAAGTCAGTTAACCGTGCTTTTGCCTCAGCTTCCTCATCTGTAAAATGAGGCAGAGAAGGAAATAACAAACCATTCTAGTATCTTTGCAAAGAAAACCCTTTGTATGCACGCACACATGCACACACACACACAATGTGTGTGTTTGCATCTATGAATATATATCATATATCACTTATAGATATATATGTATATAAAGAAATGAAACATTATATTCAGATATATTTATATATCTATATAGAAAAGAGAAAGATAAAATATATTTAGAGAAATGCCACACTTGACATTTTTGTTATATTGTTGTTGTTCAATCATTTCAGTGGTGTGTGACTCTTTGTGACCCCATTTGGGGTTTTCTTAGCAAAGTTACTGGAGCAGGGTCAGACACCTACTAAGTATCTGAGTCTAGATTTGAACTCAGGTCTTTCTGACTCCAGGCCCAGAATTCTATCCACTGTGTCACCTAGCTGCCCCTTTTCACACATATGTGTATATGTATATATGTATACACACACACACATATACATATATATATATATATACATACACACACACATACACATTTATGTATGTAAGTCTGGGTGTATATGTGTATATATGTATATACCAAAATGACATCCCTATGTTGGAGTCAAGGTACAGTGTGTCTGACTGTGATTGATCAGACTAAAACAAGCTGAGAATGCTCTACCACAGGTCAGGCACACATAGTCCATATGAACATTTGGAGTGATATGGCTCTAAATTTGTGCCTCTCACTTTTCTTTTGAGCTTCTGCAATTATGCTTTGCTCATAGAGTACAGCACGCTCTTTGATGCAGGCATGCCATATTATGCCAGTGTTTTCCATGTCGCACAATCAATACTAAAGTTCTCCAGAGAGAGCTTGAGTATGTCTTTGTATTGCTTCTTCTGACCACCTTGTGAGTGCCTTATTCACATGAGTTCTCCATAAAATAGTCTTTTAGGCAAATGTACATTTGGCATTCAAACAACATGGTCTGCCCATCAGAGTTACACTCTCTGCAGTAGAGTTTGAATGCTTGGAAGTTTAGCATGAGAAAGGACCTTATTGTCTGGTATCTTATCCTGCGAGGTGATCTTCAGAATCTTCCTAAGACAATTTAGATGGAAGCGATTCAGTTTCCTGGCATGGCGCTGGTGAATCGTCCAAGTTTCACGGGCACACAGCAATGACGTCAGCACAATGACTCTGCAGATCTTCAGTTTGCTAGGCAGTCTAATACCTCTTCTCTCTCACACTTCCCTTGTGAATCTTTCAAACACTGAGTTAGCTCTCAAGATGCCTGCATCACCTTATCTATGTGGACATCCTTAGAAGGTATACTGCCAAGATGATT